AGGCAGGAACTGCTGTGGTTGTAGGATACGTGAAGAGCTGAGTAAATTAATGGCACTCATTGAAATGCCTGAAATAAATAAGAAGATTTTTCTGGACAGCATAGCAGTTACAAGCTGCCATTCAACTGGAGTTGCCCCAGATAGTCACATCGTTTACATGGTGATTTGTGCCCAGAGCAACCTCCTATGGAGGCATTTATGTGTATGGATCTGCCTCTAGACTGTTCCTCTTCTCAGTGAGAGTGTGCTTGGCAGTGGCTGTACATTGGCTGCACCCTGGACCTTTCCTGAGAGTGGTTCCACATTGGCTACACCATGGACTTATCCTGGGAGTGGTTCCACATTGGCTGCAGCCTGAACCTTTCCTGGGAGTGCTTTTACATTGGCTGCACCATGTACCTTTCCTGGGAGTGGTTCCACATTGGCTGCACCCTGGACCTTTCCTGGCAGTGGTTTCACATTGGCTGCACCCTGGACCTTTCCTGGGAGCTGCTCCAAATTGGCTGACCCTGGAGCTTTCCTAGGAGCAGCTCCACATTGGCCGCACCCTGAACCTTTCCTAGGAGCAGCTCCACATTGGCCGCACCCTGAATCTTTCCTGGGGATTTCTCCACATTGGCTGACCCCTGGACCTTTACTGGGAGTGGTTCCACATTGGTGGTGGGTCAGGATAAGAGCAATGTGAGCCTGTGGCAAAGTGAGAAAAACGTGGTCCGTGGTGGATCACAGTCCTATCTACTAACTTCTCTGTCTCTCTTCCTTGTCTGTGCTTAGCCAGTGCCAACTGTCACTTATTAACAGCCCACAGTCACAGCCTCTATGCCTAGGCTGTCCAGCCAGCAATGACGCCCAGGCTCAGCCACCCCACTCCTACTTAAAAGCCAGACCCAAACTATCCCACTCAGCTCTCAAGCCCCAGTCCAGCTACTCCACCATGCTGTCAAGCCCATAGCCAGCTAGCCCACCCAGCTGTCATGCTCTGATCCAGCTAACCCACCCATCTCTCAAGCACGGACCACGCTAGCCCATCCAGCATTCAAGGCCAGACTCAGGAAGCCCACTCAGCTGTTAAACCTAGGTTCAGGTAGCCCACTCAATTGTAAAGCCCCAGGCCCAGCTAGTCCTCTCAGCTTTCAAGCCCAGGCAAAGCTAGCCCACCCAGCTGTCAAACCTAGGGTCAGGTAGCCCACCCAATTGTAAAGCCTCAGGCCCAGCTAGCCCTCTCAGCTTTCAAGCCCAGGTTCTGCTAGTCCACTCAGCTGTCAAGCTCAAACCCAGATAGCCCACCAAGCTGTCACGTTTAGACCCAGATAACCCAACCAGCTGTCAAGCCCAGGCTCAGTTAGCTCACCTATTGTTGTCAGGCTCAGGCCCAACTAACCCACTCAGGTTTTAAGCCCAGGCCCAGCTACCCACTAAACTGTCAAGCTGAGAACCCAGCTAGTGCACCCAGCGGTCAAGCTTAGACCCACCTAGCTTTCCATCTCAGATCCAACTAGCCCTCTCAACTGTCAAGCTCAGACCCAGCAAGCCCACCCAACTGCCCAGTCCCAGATAGCACATTTACTTTCAAGCCAAGGCTCAGCTAGCCCACCCAGCTGTCAAACTCAGAGCCACCTAGCCCACTCAACTGTCATGCCCAAACCTATCTAGCACCCCAGTGGTCAAGTTCAGACCCAGTTAGCCCACCCAGCTGTAAAGCCCAGGTCCAGATAGCCTACTCAAAAGTCAAAATCAGTCCTTGGCAAGCAATGACCTGCCTCATTTACCATACCATTACCAATCAGCTAAAATCACTTCCTGGGGAATCACCTTTCACGTGACTGTACACTGTGATCATATCCTGCCTTAAGCAGTTTTTGAAATACCAGTCCATCTGGCATTGTCAACCACGCCACATTCAAAGTCACCTAAATCCCCTTTGTTCCCCATTATGATGCTCAGTTTGAATTTCATCAAGTCGTCTTTACCATGTCTAGATGCCTAAATGCAGTGAGTTGCTGCCATGTGATTGGCTGATTAGCAATTTGTGTTAGCAAGCAATTGAACAGGTGGACCTAACAAAGTGGCCGGTGAGTGTAATTCTATATTAGTTCCTTTGGAGGAACCCCTAGAACCCTTTGGAGGACCCCCGGCTGAAAAAGGCTGGACTAGGCAGTCATATATTTCTGTCCCCCTTGGTGGGAGTGGAGGTGACCTCTCTATGAGGACATACAGTCCATACACACCCAGCACAAGGCCGGGGTCACACTACCAGACGGTTCTCGGGGCTGCAGTTCCTCTGAGCTCCACAAGGTGGGGATCTCACTTCTACCCAGACAGGAAGTCTCTATGGAAGACAGGAAGTGATGTCAGGGACAGACAGGAAGTGATGTCAGGTACAGACAGGAAGTGATCTGATAAAGACAGGAAGTTTCATGAGGTACGAAGTTGAGAGGCGATGTTACTGGAAGTGGCAGCAGAGGAGGTGATAAGATCTTATTTTCTATTTACACCCAGTAACCCCCCGTCATGTCTGTCCTCTTCCTCTACCATCACATCCTTCCTCTTACTCCATCGTCACGTCCGTCTTCTCCTCCATTGTCATGTCCGTCCTCTTCCTCTACCAGCACACCCATCCTCTTCCTCTACCGACACACCTGTCCTCTCCCTCCATCGTCATGTCTGTCCTCTTCCTCCATCGCCACATCCGTGATCTTCCTCCATCACCACTTCCGTCCTCTTCCTCCACCGTCATGTCCATCCTCTTCCTCCACCGTCAGGTCCGTTCTCTTCCTCCACCGTCACACCCGTCCTCTTCCTCCACCGTCACACCCGTCCTCTTCCTCCACCGTTGTGTCACATCCGTCCTCTTCCTCCATCGTCGCGTCCATCCTCTTCCTCCATCGTCGCGTCCGTCCTCTTGCTCCACCGTCACACCCATCCTCTTCCTCCACCGTCGTGTCACATCCGTCCTCTTCCTCCATCGTCACATCCGTCCTCTGCCTCCATCGTCGCGTCCGTCCTCTTCCTCCATCGTCGCGTCCGTCCTCTTCCTCCATCGTCGCGTCCGTCCTCTTCCTCCATCGTCGCGTCCGTCCTCTTCCTCCATCGTCGCGTCCTCTTCCTCCTCGTTCTCTTCCATCGTCGCGTCCGTCCTCTTCCTCCATCGTCGCGTCCGTCCTCTTCCTCCATCGTCGCGTCCGTCCTCTTCCTCCATCGTCACATTTGTCCTCTCCCTCCATCGTCATCACGTATGTCCTTTTCCTCCACCGTCGTGTCACGTCCGTCCTCTCCCTTCACCGTCGCGTGCTGTCCTCTCCCTCCATCGTCGTGTCACATCCGTCCTCTTCCTCCATCGTCGTGTCACGTCCGTCCTCCTCCTCCATTGTGTCACGTCCGTCCTTTTCCTCCATTGTGTCACGTCCGTCCTTTTCCTCCATTGTGTCACGTCCGTCCTTTTCCTCCATTGTGTCACGTCCGTCCTTTTCCTCCACCGTCGTGTCACCGTCCGTGCCGTCCCTCTCCCTCCACCGTCGCGTGCCGTCCTCTCCCTCCACCGTCGCGTGCCGTCCTCTCCCTCCACCGTCGCGTGCCGTCCTCTCCCTCCACCGTCGCGTGCCGTCCTCTCCCTCCACCGTCGCGTGCCGTCCTCTCCCTCCACCGTCGCGTGCCGTCCTCTCCCTCCACCGTCGCGTGCCGTCCTCTCCCTCCACCGTCGCGTGCCGTCCTCTCCCTCCACCGTCGCGTGCCGTCCCTCTCCCTCCACCGTCGCGTGCCGTCCTCTCCCTCCACCGTCACTGTGACGTCTTTTATCTCCAGCAGATGATGATACACACATATATAGTGTGGGAACACAGATTAACCCCTTCAGGGGCAGAACATTCCCCCCACTTCTGGGGCCGGAACATTCTCCTCATTGTGGAGATGTTACCTTTCCCACCAATCTCCTTCTCACCTCCTCAGTCTATACTGACCCATTATACGACCATTATTAGTGGCGGGGGATGGGGGGTATTTAGGGCGATTGGAATATAAATGTCTTTATTTTATAAGATTCCAATAGGAAGAAAGAAGGAAAATGTCATTTGTAGTAAATGTCCTGAAAACGAATGTGTCCACCATGATCCCAGCCTCAGATATTCCTCCTAAATGTGATGAGTAAAGTCTCCGGAGTACACAGAGATCATAGGAATACCATGTGTCCTGGCAAAGCCCAAACACAACGTTCATCTGCCAGTCTAGGAGAGGTGGGACGCACCCAGGAGGAATGATTCAGTGTACAGAAACCTCACAGAGTGCCCCTCACAGCTCCTCCTCCCAATGTCCCTCCAACAAGGGTCAGAGAATCCTATGACATCACAATGACCTCACAGCTCCTCCTCCCAATGTCCTCCATCCAGAGTCAGAGAATCCTATGACATCACACTCTCCTCACAGCTCCTCCTCCCAATGTCCTTCCAACCAGTCAGAGAATTCTATGACATCACAATGACCTCACAGCTTCTCCCAATGTCTTCCAATCAGAGAGAATCCTTTAACATCACACTGACCTTGCAGCTCCTCCTCCCAATGTCCCTTCATCCAGAGTCAGAGAATCCTATGACATCACACTGACCTCACAGCTCCTCCTCCCAATGTCCCTCCATCCGACTCTGTTTTTTTTCTGATGCCCTTGGAATGTGGGTGGACCTTTGCCAACCTCACTAGCAAGGTGGGACTTGTATGTAAGAACACCAGAATTGCTTATGACAAGCATTTATTCTATGGATTGGGGGGTCCTGTGGGGGTAAATTATACCTCAGCCTGAAGTGGGGCTTTTACAAAAGGGATAACTGACTGGGGTGGTGAAGAGGATTCTGGGAATTTCATTTGCATTTAATATTTTGTGTTTCAGTCTAGAATTTGCCTTCTGTGAAGTCTGGAGATCGTATGACATCACATTGCCTCCACCTCCCTCCCTGATAGAAGAGAGAAAGAAGAAGATTCTAGAGTGGGAGTATTTAGAAGGACATAAGGACCTCTACAAGGACGTCATGATGGACAATCAGCCGCCCCTCACATCACCGGGTAAGAGAACACTTTATTGGAAAGGAGAGAGCAGTACGGAGGATCCACCTAGATCCCCCATCATCTGATAAACACATAGAAACAATGGATTCAGTCAGTGTGTGTGTTTCCTACAGATGGATCCAGTCATGGTAACCCACCAGAGAGATGTCCCCGTCCTCTGTATTCCTGGGGATTCCACACAGGAAGGTCACACCATCCCTCACCATCATCAGGTAGATGGATCCAGTCATGGGAACCCACCAGAGAGATGTCCGCATCCTCTGTATTCCCGGGATTCCACACAGGTCAATATTAAAGAAGAGATAAAAGAGGAGGATGATGAGGATGGAGTGATGGAGGAATCAGAATATCCAAAAGAACACAAAGATCCGTACCAGGACACCATGGTGGAGTCATCCAGCTACAGGAACCCACCAGAGAGATGTCCCCATCCTCTGTATTCCCGGGATTCCACACAGGAAGGTCATACCATCCCTCACCATTACAAGGTTGGTGGGATGGAGCATCTAGAACACGGACTTGGGTAGTGATGATGTGGATTTTGTTGATGTTGATCCTTCTCTTGGTTTAGGGTGAAGATGTGACAGATATAAAAGTTGAGGTGAAATCAGAAGAAGAAGAAGAGGCGTATGTGAGGGATGATCAGCTGTCTATGGAGGAGGATGGAATAACGGGGACATTTATAGAGGAGGACACTCCTACAGAGATCAGCACAGGTGGGTCATGAACACTAAATCCATTCCTCAACCCATACTGCTCACTGATTGGTGCAGATGATAAAGTTCTCATTGGATCTCTCACTGTGTTTCTGGTTTGGGGGAACCAATCGGCTCCTGTCTAGTAATCCTCTCTGTCTTTGTATTTTAGTCCATGGCCAGGAGATGAGGAAAACCTCCGAGGATTGTCTCACTTTGTCTCCAGACTGGAAAGTAGAAGATGAGGACATCACACAGTATAGTCCAGGAGAAAACCCGGCTCCCTCCAATGTCCATCCGGCACCACCCAGTGTAGATGGACCATCAGATTCCACGTATCCTGAGGAATCTCAGACTCTGCGGGACCGAGCCAGCCTTCCAACAGACAAGAGGTTCTCCTGTACTGAGTGCGGGAAATGTTTCCGTTTTGAAAACAAACTTAATGAGCATAAAAGAACTCACACAGGTGAAAAGCCATATTCCTGTCCTGAGTGCGGGAAATGTTTTTCACAGAAGTCCAATCTTTCCATACATCAGAGATCCCACACAGGAGAGAAGCCGTATCCTTGTGCTGAGTGCGGGAAATATTTTTTACTAAAGTCTCAACTTGTTACTCATCAGAGATTGCACACTGGTGAGAAGCCGTATTCCTGTCCTGAGTGTGGGAAATGTTTTTCAGATATGTCCAGTCTTTACAGACATAAGAGATTGCACACGGGGGAGAAACCGTATTCTTGTTCTGAGTGCGGAAAATGTTTTTCAGAGAAGTCCAGTCTTTACAAACATCAGAAATTACACACAGGAGAGAAGCCGTATTCCTGCCCTGAGTGCGGGAAATGTTTTTCAGATATTTCCAGTCTTTACAAACATCAGAAACTGCACACTGGGGAGAAGCCGTATTCTTGTATTGAGTGCGGGAAATGCTTTTCACAGAAATCCAATCTTTACAGACATCAGAGATCTCACACGGGGGAGAAGCCGTATTCCTGTCCTGAGTGCGGGAAATGTTTTTCACTGTGAAGTCCCATCTTTCCAGACATCAGAGATCACACACGAGGGAGAAGCCACTTCCCTGTCCTGAGTGAGGGAGATGTTCCTCACTGAAGTCCTGTATTCCTGGGGTCCCACA